TCTCTCCCCCTCTCTCCCCACCTGCTCGCCGCCGAGCAGCGCCCGGTCCTTCTTCTGGGGCCATGTCTCCCCCTCTCTCGCCCTCTCTCCCCCTCTCTCCCCACCTGCTCGCCGCCGAGCAGCGCCGGGTCCTTCTTCTGGGGCCATGTCTCCCCCTCTCTCCCCCTCTCTCCCCCTCTCTCCCCACCTGCTCGCCGCCGAGCAGCGCCGGGTCCTTCTTCTGGGGGCATATCTCCCCCTCTCTCCCCCTCTCTCCCCCTCTCTCCCCCTCTCTCCCCCTCTCCCCCCCTCTCTCCCCCTCTCTCCCCACCTGCTCGCCGCCGAGCAGCGCCGGGTCCTTCTTCTGGGGCCATGTCTCCCCCTCTCTCCCCCTCTCTCCCCACCTGCTCGCCGCCGAGCAGCGCCGGGTCCTTCTTCTGGGGCGGCCTTGCGAGCTGGAACTTTTTGATCGCCTCGGAGAGGTCGTCCTTGGTCAGCGTGATGAGCTGCTCCCCCGAGGCAGTCAGGTCGAGTCGCTGGTTCATGCAGTCGGCCGCCCACTGCAGCAGGTTGTCAGTCAGCCGGCCGTTGTACCTGCGCACAGTCAGGCCTGTCACGTGCTCGCCGCTGCGGGTGGGCAACTCCGCCGGCCCGTCGCACTTTGAGCGCAGGTCGGCGGTGGTGTTCTTGTCGATGATTGCGTTGAGGTTCTTCTCGGCGTCGGCGGTCATCTTGTAGCCCTTGGCCTTGATCTTGATGTTGACGATCTTGCACAGGTCGGGCACCGTGTAGTCGTCAAAGTGGAAGCGGTACCTGTTCACACCATGCTGTTCACACCTTGTAGCCCTCTTCACACCGCGTAGTCGTAAAGTGGAAGCGGTACCTGTTCACACCATGCTGTTCACACCTTGTAGCCCTCTTCACACCGCGTAGTCGTCAGAGTGGAAGCGGTGCCTGTTCACACCATGCTGTTCACACCTTGTAGCCCTCTTCACACCGCGTAGTCGTCAAAGTGGAAGCGGTACCTGTTCACACCATGCTGTTCACACCTTGTAGCCCTCTCCACACCGCGTAGTCGTCAAAGTGGAAGCGGTGCCTGTTCACACCATGCTGTTCACACCAGCCGGGAGTGTGAGGAGACGCCGCGCACGCCAGCGGCGGGCGGGTGCTCGGCAAGAGGCGAGGGGGGGGCGGGTGGCACTTGATGCGCGACTCGGTGTGAACAA